GGTGTGCGCCACCACGCCCAGCTCCATTTGTTGTTTTTTGAGTCGCTGATCATAGCTGTTGTTTCTAGAGTAAGAAGGAATGGAATAAGAGTAGGATGCTTTAATTTGGCCAAAGATGCTAAACTTGCTTTAAGAAAGAATGTAACATATCTTACTAATAATTTTAAAATATGGGTACATATTGAAATGATAATATTGAGGATATATAAGGATAAATTAATAGCAACTTAATTATTTTTGATGGTGCTGATGATGGAACGCCGGGCCTCATACATGATAGACAAATGCTCTATCATTGAACAACATCCTCAGCCTTCAGTTTAATTTTACCTTTTTCCTCTTGACTTAAAAATATGGCTATGTTCAGGTGTGGGAGCATATGCTTGTATTCGCAGGTAGTTAGGGGGCTGAGGCAGGAGGATCCCAAGTTCAAGGCCATTTTGGGCAATTTAATGAGAACTTGTCTCAAAATTTAAAAATGCAGTTACTAACAAATTTAAAATGGCATAGTCAGGTGTGGTGGTGCACACCTGTAATTCTAGTACTCAGGAGGCTGAGGCAAGAGGATTGCTGTGAGTTTAAGGCCAGCCTGGGCTACATAGAGTTGAAGGCCAGCTTGAAGTGCATAGTGAAACCCCCATCTCAAAACAAAAACAAAAAACATCACCCCCCAGATGAAATTGCATAACTGATCCATGTGTCTCGTTTGGACAGCACAGGTACAGATGATCATTAGTTGAATTATCTCCCACATGAGCATAAAATTCCAAGTTCTGACACATAGTCCAAGAGACGAAGGGTGCCCCTACCTGCCTGTCTGCTGTGACACCTCTCCCTGCAGGTCCTGAACCACCCTTTTCCTTTAAGACTGACCTCCAGGAAATCCCCTACCTCCTTTCCTCCCAAGTGCCAGGCATGGATCCTGTTTCTGAGCTGCTCTGGGACCCCTGGACCCTGGGAATGTGGTTCTAGATTTTGGCCTGACTCACTAGAACCTGGGAGCAGTTTCCTCTTGCTTTGCTGTCTGTGTCTGCAGCCGGTGGGTCAGGGAAGATGGAGGTGGTTCTGAGTGTCTAACCCACCGACCCATCCCCTCTGACAGTGACCGGCATGGTGGGGCTGGCAGGCCTGAAGAAGGACATTGACCGTGTAAGAGCTGACATGAACCAGTCCCTGGTGGAGCTTCAGGGCTTATTAAGTGAGTGGGACTTGGGAAACGACCAGATATGGGTGACACGGCAAAGCTGGCACTATAGCATTGACCAATGAGAAACGTTTCTCCATTACCCACTGTATGTGACTAGGTTTTATTATGTATTGAAAATCTGTGCGCCTGGTACAGTGTATCTATAATACCCTTTCCTTGTAAACACTTACCTGGGTTTAGGTAAAGATTGTACGAATCTGCTAAAATGTATTGTCACATTTTCTTACCTTCTTTCGTGGATGACATGCATGTGGGATCATTCCTAAGTGAGTACTTCTTTTTTTGTGTGTGTGTTTTTGAGACAGGGTTTTGCTATGCAGTTCAGGCTGGCCTTAAATTCACTTTGTAGCCCAGGCTGGCCTCAAATTCGCAACGATCCTCCTGCCTCAGCCTCCCAAGTGCTGGGATTGCAGGCATGCGCCACAACTGGCCAGAGGGACGTTTTTGACACTTACTTGCCAACTTCTTTGGAAAGCACATGCCTGTACTTTTTGTTACCTGATTTGAAACTTTATATATTTCTAAGAATTTACCAACAACCTAAAGTTTATTAAATCACAAGTTTGTTACTTTTTTTTAATGTCTCTTAATATATCATTGCTTTGCCAGTCTATGTGATGTCACCACTGCACGTGGCACACTGTGTATCTCATGACTCCAGAGCCTCCTGACCGCATCCTCTCTTGTCTCCAGAATGTACCAGGGTCACCTGCCCTGACAACTGGCTGCCCTTTGAGAGCAAGTGCTACTACTTCTCCCCGAGCACCAAGTCATGGGATAACGCCCGGAAGTTCTGCCAGGAGAACTACTCTCACTTGGTCATCATTGATAGCCTTGCTGAGCATGTGAGTTGTCCCCGTGGAGCCCTTGGGAACCTGGAGGACCAGCCTCTGTGGCTTCCAGGAGTCACATCCTTCTCTCCCTGCCTGGATAGAGAGAAATTAGATTTACTTTTGAATTACTAAGATGGGTGTGGTGGCACATGCCTGTCATCCCAGTGAGTGTCAGGCCAGCCTGGACTATGTAGTGAGATTCACTCTCAAAAAAAAAAAAAAAATCACTTTTGCGTTACTAAACCTTAGTGGCAGAGTCTCCCTGAGTTGGAAATATGCAGAAGTTAAGAGGATATGCTTTGAGTTCAAATCCTGCTGTGTTTCTTTAACCTGTACAAGTTTCATTTTTATCTCTACCATGGAAATAGCACGACTAGCACTTCCTATCTTCCAAGTGCATTCCACACTTACACCTTACACGCACCAGCACATGTAATTTTCCCACTTCTATAAATGAGTGGATCAGTCAGGAGAGGTTCTGTTATGCTGCAGTAATGGAGAGACCCCATGTCAACTCACACACTGACTCTTGGAGCTTTCACTTGTACTTACAAAGCAAGTCACACGAATACTTCTGTCCTTTAAGATGGTAGGAAAGTAAGGTCTAACCTGTGTGAGGTTAGCTGGAATATCTTCATACAACTTTCTGGATTTAGTATTGTAGGCAGCCGCTGAGGCTGGAAATCAGTCACACTTGCGGGGCTAAGGCAAAGCCCACCGAGGACAGGGAGAGCTCCTCCAGCCACATCAACAAGCTGTTCCAGCTTGCAGACTGGTTGCTAGACAGAGAGGCTGAAATTGACATCAGCCTCCTGAGTGCATAAATAAATGCTCTTCAGTTTTTGGGCAGTTCTTTTCCTCCCATCTGGAGAGAGGGCTCGACCTGACTTCTTATCTTTATCTCTAAATCCTCTCGTTGTCCCTCCATCCCCACCCCAACATCAAGAGCCGCATTGGTTTGCAGCATAGTACTACTACAGTGAGGTAATACTGCCCTTCCTACATGGCACGTATCACTTGCACTTCACAGGTGGGAATACTGTGGTATAATGCGCGTAAGCAACTTGCCTGTGGCCTCTCTAAACTAGCCTCGGAGCTGAGATGTGGGCTTAGAGAGCTGGTGTCAAAGTCCAGAACGTGCGGGGCATGGTGGCGCATGCCTGTAATTCCAGCACTCTGGGAGGCTGAGGGAGGAGGATCACAAGTCTGAGCCCAGCCTGGGCAGTTTAGTGACTTAG